GAGAGAGAGAGAGAGAGAGAGAAAGAGTGCCCTTCTGCTGATATTATATTCTTCATTAATAATGAACAATGACAAATTTAAGTGTGTAAAGACACTCGAATATAGCAAAATATCTATTGTCGATATTTATCGATTTACTAAATATTAATTAACGTATACGTTACTTTTGATTTATGTGAAACATGAAAGGCGTTTAAATATAGAAGATATCGAACAGCGATACTAATCTATTGGCCAAATTACATACCCAAGTTTTCGAGTATTTTATGAACCAAACAGACGCTCGAAATTTATCGATTTACGCCACAAATTTGAAGAACAAAAGTATGAAATAATAAGAATAAGCTCGCCCTGACGTTTTGACATCGAATTCAGCTTCAAGATACCCAGTAATGTGCACTCAGTTTTATAGGCCTACCATACTACAAATACCTTCAATGCCAAGCGGCAATTCGATTCTAATTCCATGACTTTTATTTCAGCTTTAATCAAATTGAATTACAGATTTCGGAGTGCATTTAAAATTTTTGAAAGTTGCTTCGAAGCCACTGATGCAATGTGCAAATGTCTTTATGTACATATGCATGTTTGAACTACGTGCAATTAAAAGCAACAAAATATAAAAATAAAAATAAATAAAAAATCCATTTAGCTAACCGGGTCATCAGCTAGCGTTGATGCGGGCCAGCGATTGTGTGTCGCATTAGCGATTAAAGCCAACGGGAATTATAAAAATGCAGCACACATCGAAATGCATTTTTCTCGAGAGAAAACATACAAACAGAAAGGAAAGAAAGGAAAAATGAAGAAAAGGAAAACCTTGAAGAGATGTCCATGCAAATACACACACACACACACAAACACACACACACACACACACACACACACAAAGAAAGAGAGAAAGAGAGAGGCGCGAGCGCGACCCTGGATGGAGTTTGGAGTCGAGGCTGTACCGCTCAAGGACAACCAGTGAGCTGACTCCTTGCAGCTTGCATCAATTTCTTTTTTTTTTTTTCATTTTTGCTTCCCATCTTCTTTTTTTTTTAATGTTTTGAGTTGTGCTTGACAGCAACAAATAGAAAAAAAAAAGTAGGAGAAAAAAAAAAAACAAAACTAGTGCACAGGCTGCGACGCTGGCAGCGTTAGCGACTGCGCAGCAACAGCGATAACAGCGTCAGCTAAAAAAAGTTATGCCCCATCATCAGCCTCCTGCCAGCAGGAGGCCACCCAGTCAGCTATCCTCCCCAACTTCTATAGCATGAAAATTTTCGTTGTTGCTTTTGCTTGGTGTCCTGTCCCGCACACACATACACATACACACACACACACACACACACACGCATACACCACGTCGCATCACACAAGCACCGTAATTTACGTGCGGCTCTGCTCTCTTTCACAGAAAATCTCTTGCTTGTTTGCACACACGCACGCACACATGCACGAGTATATACTCGTGCACAAATACATAAGCTTTTCGTCTTTATGAATTTTACTGTTATTCTGGAATCTCTCTTGCCCATTGCCTTTGATGTATACAGCATCTACAGTTATTATTATTTTTTTGTTACATTTGTTTGTTATTTGGATTTGATTTTATTTTTAACACACACAAGCACACGGATGAGACGATAGAATTTACAACATTTTTGCATGGTTTATTTGTAGAGATGTTGAATAATTAAATACATACATACATACATATTTATATGTGATGGTATGCTAACTTTAAATGCATACAAACATACATCTATAATTTTACATGGACATACATACATGTACTTATATACATATATAAATATGTACGTATGTATGAAATGGGCACACTGTTATTTCTCACTCGTTGCACTTTTTGGCGTATGTGGTTTGGGGCGGGGGCGCGTGTATCTTTCAGCTTTTATGTTCTGCCATTTGGCCAATTGGAAAATCGAAATGGAAAAGGAATGCAAAAAACAACTAGCACCGCGGTCATTGAGCCGATTTTTTTTTGTTTTTGTTATTATGATTTTTCTTTTAAATATGTACGTTGAGTTGTTCCTCATTTACATACATGTACTTATGTGGGATCAAAAAAAAAAAAAAAAAACAAAAAATACGTTTTCATACACACACGCACATCAGAGCACGTCTTAGTTCAGTCATATTGGAATTATACATATGTACTTCGCAGTATGTATGCATACGTGTGTGTGTGTTTCCAATTGGCGTTTGTTGCTAGTCCGTTCGTTGCTCAGCTTTGAGGCTGCTGAGAATTTGGTGCTTGCTGAGCCGTCGCAGCAGCAGCGTTTGGCGTCGCCCCCTCTATGTAGATATGTATGTTGTGTGTGTGGGCTTTATTAATAACGCACAATTTCAGAAGAAAAAAAAAAAACAACAAAAAAAAAACATTTTTCTTGCAATTTACCTTTTCAATATTATTGCTACACTTTTTTGTTCACACAACGACGCAGACGCACGATAAATTGATTCGAAGCAAATTTCTAACGCGCTCCCGCATACACGTCCGGCTGAAGTTTCAACGCAAAAGTAGTGCTGCAGAAACAGTCGAAGCCACTATCGATATTGAAGATGAGGTCGATTTTAATTCGATAATAGTCCGCACCGATAACTAATCGATTTCTGAAAGCTCAACTGTAATACAGCCTTACATTCTGCACCAACACATTCATCAACCACTTTATTTCATTTCTTAAAAACAGAAATGAATTGAATAGCAAATGAGTAAAATGGTATTTTATATTAACAGTAACAGTTGTTGCCGTGCAGTACGTTAGAAAGCGCAATGCTGAGAGGGGTAATTCGTAACGCATACGAATCAACAACGTAATGCATATTGTTGCGACGTAAGCGCAATTGGGAGCAACATGTGTGTGCAAAAGTGAGTCTATGCAACCTGGCGACGCAATGTAAACAGAATGTTATGTTATGTTATCGGCATGCAAACTGTTAAGTCGAACTCGTTCACAACAGAGCGACACAGTGGCAAAGTGATGATGTTTACGGCGAATGGGGGGTGAGAAAAACGCACAAAGTCAGAGCAGAAAGCAGAGTGGGAGAGAAGGTAACAAAATTACAAAGTTAAAATTCGTATGTTAAACAACAAAAGTATATTTCGCGATTGTGTTAAAATTTAGTCGTTTATTGCCTTCGCCAACGCACAGTTCAAATTTAGTGGAAATATACATAGAAATATATATC